GATGATATCCTGAAGAGTGTTTTCCAACTTGGTTCCATTTTCCTCCTCACTTTCAGGCACCCCGATCAGACGTAGATTTGGTCTTTTTACATAATCCCATACTTCTTGCAGGCTTTGTTCATTTCTTTTTCTTCTTTTTTCTTTTGGTTTCTCTTCTCGCTTCATTTCATTCATTTGATCCTCCATCGCTGACATTCTTTCTTCCAGTTGATCGAGACAGTTACTGAAGCTTGTGCATTTGTCACGTATTTCTCGTGCCATGGTTTTCGTCTCTTTCATTTCGTTTGTGAGCTTCTCTGCATTAATTACTCTAGCCATCAATTCTTCCACTTTTTTTTCAAGATTTTTAGTTTCTTTGCGCTGGGTACGTAATTCCTCCTTTAGCTCTGAGAAATTTGATGGACTGAAGCCTTCTTCTCTCATCTCGTCGAAGTCATTCTCCGTCCAGCTTTGATCCGTTGTTGGCGATGAGCTGCGCTCCTTTGCCAGGGGAGATGCGCTCTTATTTTTTGAATTTCCAGCTTTTCTGCCCTGCTTTTTCCCCATCTTTGTGGTTTTGTCTGCCTCTGGTCTTTGATGATGGTGATGTACTGATGGGGTTTTGGTGTAGGTGTCCTTCCTGTTTGATAGCTTTCCTTCTAACAGTCAGGATCCTCAGCTGTAGGTTGTAGCTGTAGGAGATTGCTTGAGGTCCACTCCAGACCCTGTTTGCCTGGGTATCAGCAGCAGAGGCTGCAGAAGATAGAATATTTCTGAACAGCGAGTGTACTTGTCTGATTCTTGCTTTGGAATCTTCCTCTCAGGGGTGTACTCCACCCTGTGAGGTGTGGGGTGTCAGACTGCCCCTAGTGGGGGATGTCTCCCAGTTAGGCTACTCAGGGGTCAGGGACCCACTTGAGCAGGGAGTCTGTCCCTTCTCAGATCTCAACCTCCGTGTTGGGAGATCCACTGCTCTCTTCAAAGCTGTCAGACAGAGTCGTTTGCGTCTGCAGAGCTGCTGCGTTTGTTATTATTTACTGTGCCCTGTCCCCAGAGGTGGAGTCTACAGAGACAGGCAGGTTTCCTTGAGCTGCTGTGAGCTCCACCCAGTTCGAGCTTCCCAGCAGCTTTGTTTACCTACTTAAGCCTCAGCAATGGCGGGCGCCCCTCCCCCAGCCTCGCTGCTGCCTTGCCGGTAGATCACAGACTGCTGTGCTAGCAATGAGGGAGGCTCCGTGGGTGTGGGACACTCCCGGCCAGGTGTGGGATATGATCTCCTGGTGTGCCTGTCTGCTTAAAGCGCAGTATTGGGGTGGGAGTTACCCGATTTTCCAGGTGTTGTGTGTCTCAGTTCCCCTGGCTAGGAAAAGGGATTCCCTTCCCCCTTGCGCTTTCCAGGTGAGGCAATGCCTCGCCCTGCTTCAGCTCTTGCTGGTCGGGCTGCAGCAGCTGACCAGCACCGATCATCTGGCACTCCCCAGTGAGATGAACCCAGTACCTCAGTTGAAAATGCAGAAATCGCCGGTCTTCTGTGTCGCTCACGCTGGGAGTTGGAGACTGGAGCTGTTCCTATTCGGCCATCTTGCTCCGCCCCTCCAAGCATATCATTTTTAACACGATGTGGTTTTCATGAAAGCGGTAAAGACTACATATGCTTTATTTTCATTGTCAAATAACTTCAAATTACTGGCCAAATATGTAATATAAACACAGCTAGGACTGATAATAGTTTCAAATTTATTTATTTTACATTTATTGTTATTTTAACACTCTGCTTAATTGATCACTGAGGTTGAAGTGGAGAGGTTCTGATTTTATGGCTTAGAGGGTGATAAAAAACCTTTTTATCTATCTTAGCATTTTATTTAACTAATGGAGGCATGTGCATTTCATTGTATTTCATATTGTACTATCTGCATTTATTTACCTATCACTGCCCTCAGAGGGATATATACACACACACACACACACACACACACACATACATATATATATTTATTTATTTATAGATATATTCACATATGTACTATTATGTATATATTTATACCCAAACACACACACACACACACACACACACACACACACACTTTTTTGAGGGCTGATACTCTAGCATATGATCTAGTAAAGATAAAATAATTTATTAAATTTATTGAATAATTTATTGAATATGCACTATGTTCCTGGAACCATAGTAAGTACTTTAAGTGCAGTATTTTATATTTTGTTCACAAAAAAACCCCCCATGAAACAGGATGAGGAAATGGAAGTTTAAAAATGTTACTCAAGATCACGTAGCCAGTGAATTACAGAGGGATTTGCCAGTTATCAATTTTTTGCCTTTCAACATAATCCTGGTTTTGATATGGGACTATTTCTCCCCTTGTCAGCTGGCATGCTATTAAGTTCTATCAGTAAACGGTTCTGGAATGACAATGGGGGAGGTAGAGGTTTGTCTGTTCCAGTGTGCTTTCAATTCTTTTTCAATCCTGTGCCTCTAGGTTGGCCTATGGAATGCCCAGTAAGGCTCACCTCATCCCCCCGCTTTACCCAAAAGACTTCCAGCAACACTATGGGTCATGTTTGACAAGTTCTATGGGTACCCAATAAGCGAGTTGAGGATGGGTGGCAAATCCATAGGTAGCTTCCTGGAGCCCCACCTCATTTCCTCAAGTTTAGCAGCATCCACTACAGGTAGTTTCCCAACATGTCCAATGAATACACCAGCCAGCTTTCTAGCAAATTCAATGGTTCCCCACCATAGGCTACTTCTCTGTGAATTTTGTCAGCATTCCACTCCAATATTCTCTTCACACTAGCTTCAGCCCACTGGCTATAGACTTGTTCTGGATTGGGTCAATGAAGGAAACTTCTCTGTCATCCCATGGGAGGCAGACACACCCTTTCTAAAGAAGTCCGAATCCAGCCTTGGGTTGAGCTCCCATCTTTCCATATTAGTTCCTTTTTTGGGTACTATTCCTCAGGCTTAGGGTATTCTTTAGAGATCTCTTTTATTCTCTATTAAAAATTAATTTCCAGTAAGGATTTAATACTTAATTCTCTGTTTTAAGTGACCGTGTGGTTTCTGTGCCCTGTCTGGACCCTGACTAATACAAGGGGTTATTCTAGACCAAGTTTCAAGTAATTTCTTATTCAAATTTTTATGTTTTAACAACTCAGTCCAGAAAATAAGAGAATAGGTGTTGAACCAAGGTATGCTGCTGAACTGAATTATTTTTTATTTGGGGGAAATGTCAGGTTTTATACCAACAACCTTTGAAATAGAAGGTTATAAGTAGTTTTGTGTTAATAAAGGATTGCAAGATAATTACATTAGTAGAGTTAATACCAAGGTAAAATTAGAGACTAAGCTATTCCTAAGGACAGAATAGATGAGTACTGAAAAATGTCAAACATTAAAGTTGGATCTCGGCCAGGTGTGGCCATTCACAGCTGTAGTCCCAGCACTTTGGGAGGCCAAGGCAAGTGGATAGCTTGAACCCAGGAGTTCAAGACCAGCCTGGATAACATGGCAAAACCACATGTCACCAAAAATAAATATCAAAAAAAAAAAAATTGCCGGGAGTGGCAGCATGCACCTGTAGTCCCAGCTACTCAGGAGGCTGAGGTGGGAAGATCACCTGAGCCCAGTGAGGTTGAGGCTACAGTGAGCCATGATCATGCCACTGCACTCCAGTCAGAGTGACATAGCAAGACCCTGTCTCAACAAAAGAGTCTTTTCACAGCTAAGCCAAGGTCAGTTTTACAATGACTTTTAATTTTTTGCCTGAACTGCTCTCTCCTACCTGACACTAATATTCAAATAGAAACAAAAACACATTCCAATTCCATATCAAAACCCACATTGAAATGATCTTCAATTTACTTGCCACATAGCCATATCTATTTGACTCAGATCCAGCAATAGTGCAACAGTGATGAAGGATCAAGAGATTGTTTGGATTTCCCCTTTTCCAATCCCCAATTCCTTATGTTGATTTGGATAAAATATGGTATGCCACCCACCAAATATAGTGGCATGATTCCAAACTGGAGGCCGCTGCCTGTACATTTGCAGATATCTGCCCCACCCTCACCTACTTCTCTTCAGAATTAGAGAAGAGGTTTTCCTACTTAAGATGTTCCCCCTCTTCAATCTGTAGGCATGTCAAAAGGTCCCCGACATTGACTATTCAATGAATCATTAAATAGTCAGTGGTTTCTTGCATACTCCCCTAGTTACTACCCTCCTTATTCTTTTTCTCTTCATACCTTATTTGTTTTTATGTCTTGCACATTCTAGGAAATCAATAACTTTTCCTTAACTAATCAATGTTTATAAGTTATGAAGGATAGGAAATTTTTATTATCAAACCATAGAACCATATCTCACCTGTAGTAGCTGTAACTCAGTAAGTGAATATAAAACTAAACATTATTATAAAATAGGTTTTCTTCTTAACAAATAATTCATCCTTAGGAGAGAGTATGCAAAACATTGACTAGGAGAAATTTGCTATTTTGTTTTAGTATTGATTTGAAAAATCACACCATGTGTGATGTATGAAAATTTATCTATAACAAATTTAGTGTTATTTGTGAAGAACAAATAATACAGGGTACTAACAGAATTGCATGTATTATTAGCAGATTACATGTGACATAACAAATGTGTGTGGAGTGGAGGGAGAGGGATAAAATGAGAGAGCAAGTGAGAAAGGATACTCACACATACTGGATTATCTTGAACAGGAAAAAGAAGTCTGTGGTCAGAGTATGTAGACCCAAGAAGGTTACTATCCTTGGTATGTCTCAGTTGCCTTTTAAAAATCCTAACTTATAATGTTTTTGTGAAATCACATGATATAATACACATGTAAAGAATTTACCCAGTGTCTGGCCTTGGACTGTCTCTGAAACCTGAAAGCTAATATTTAAAGTATTGCTCATTTTATCTGAGAGGCCTGTATCTGCTATACATTAATGCAAACTAGATTAAGGAGATTTTTTACTTATCTTCATACCTCTTCATGTAGTTCCCTCCAACGAGAATTAAAAGTCTCAAGTTCCTCATTGATCAGCTCATCCATTACTCCACCATCTGTTAGGGTCTGTGCCAATATGCGAATCTGATTTGGGTTATCCTCTGAATGTTGCATCAAATTTTCAAGTGACTGAAACACATTTGCAATAATTACTATTTCTCTTTTCTTCCTAAATACATTGAATTATCACACAATGCTCAGTATCTTCTGATTTACATATAATTAAGTCATAATCAATCTAAAGCAAATTTTAATTAGGATTAAAAACACCAAGGAGCATTTTTGCTTCAAAAAATAGGATGTCATTCTACAGGAATCTTCATGGGATTATGACAGTGTTGTGGACTGAGAACTTAAAACTTGATTCACAACCACCTTTTTCCTTGATGTCCCCTAACTCTAAAACCTGAAGAGGTAAAACACTAAATTTCTCACCTTCTTTGATAGCTAGTGGTGTCCAAGTGACACAATTTTGAAAAGGAGTACTCTCTCAAGAAGAATCCTTTTGCCCTTCCTACTTTTTTGCACATGCATGGCCTGGAGGTGTAACAATCATCTTTGCACAGGGAGGCTATGACTCTTGAGTGTGAGGTCCTTCATGCTCAGGAATAGAGAGCAGAAAGAGAGTGCCTACTTGCCTCATAATATGGCTGAACCATCCTCATCCCTGGATAACTTCCCTTCACTATTCTTTTTGTGGTGAGAAAAGATTATTTTGTGAGCTTAAGCCATTGTCTGATTTTCTGTTATGTATATCCCAATAATACCCATCTCCTATACTGCTGAAAATTAACAAAGTTGCCTGGCTAGATAATATGATGAAAGTGAATCTCAGTGTCAAATGCAGGCATGCTGGAAAACAAGGGATTCAATTTCATCTTACTGGACCTCAAACATATCTGTAGAATAAGCGATGGGCATATGTTCTAACACATTTATTAAATATTCTGTTTTCCTTGTTTTAAAGAAATGAAAATGTTCCAATACATATTTATAATTTTTCCTGTTTATGCATTTTTCTTGAATTTTGAGCAACCTCAATATATTTTCCTATTAAATTTCAAGAAAATAAAAATATAGAGACTTTCTAAATACATTTATATTTAAAACATCACCATAACCTGTAAAATACTTAAAAGGCCATCAAATTTTTGAGCAGAACAATGAAATTGTTAATAATTTTCCTTATAATTTGTATTCCTTACTATTTTTAACAAATCTTAATTTTGTAAATATTTATTTGCAAAATGGATGTAAATAATTTTAATGGATACTTTATTTTATAAGACGTAACGAAGTATATACCTTGCTAAATTTTTTTAAACGTGGATGAAAAGCAACAAAGCAAAATTAAGGGATCAGTTATAGATATCTTGAGTTGCAACAGAACCTAGAAGTCGTGCAGTTTTTCTATCCTTGATTCGTGGTGATCTAGCCCTTTTCACTCAAAATGTCCTCCTGGATGAGCATCAGCAACACTACCAAAGAACCAATTTTATGTATGTGTTTGTTTATTTTTTCACTGTGGAATCTCCTTTATTGGCTCCATTATCTAAATTAGGAACAATCAGAAATTATGACCACAAGATAGGAATAAAAGATAAGAGCACTTGCAATCCTCCTCTTCCTTGCTTGTCTGTGTTGTGGGCATTGTGAGGGCCTTGCCTAAAATAGTAAATAGTAATGGTAAGGTTTTTTTCCCCCCATCTTTTCTAAATACTCTTCATTATGGCTTCAAATTTTCTCTCTTTCCTTAACATTCATTTTTGAACATGCCCTAGTTTTTCAGTGCATCATTTAAACTGTGATATCAAGAATTCAGCATGGTGCTCCATGTACAATTTGACAATTTCATAGGATAACAACATCATCATATCTTCTGTTCTGGCCACTGTCCTTTTATTAATGTGCTGTAAGTTTACTGCATCTTTTCTAGAACATGTAACACATTGTTGATTCACAAGAAATGTTTGGTCAATTAACTTCTCTGAATACGACAAGTTTATAGTCATGGTTAGTCAAATAGGGCCAAAATTAAAGCCCACTGAAGACCTCATTTATTGTACTTTAATACCTTTGCAGGTTTTATAATTTTCTTTTGAGAATTAGGAAGTTGAATAAAATGATCCATAGGTGTCTGCTCTGATGTCCTAGGATTACAATTCTATTCTGTCTAAAGAAATATTTTACATTTTCTTCACACCTTGAATAACTTATGCTCCTTATTTTATAGATTTACACAGGGGCTATACTACTTATAGCTTTATGTACATATACTATTCTAAAACAACATGTTCATTACATATAGATAAGTCAAAAGTACACTAAAACGCATAGAGCTTGAATGACTAAATGTCAGAAGTTAAAATAAGTCAAAGTTTATAAATGCAAACTCATTTAAAATTTAATTATTAAAAGTCTCCAAAGTAAAACTTAAAAGTGTAGTTACATTTTATGAGTATTTTAAAGATATATTTCCAATATTAAAGCATATCCATTTAATAACTCAAAACATTCTGTAAGGTATAAATTTGTGATTTTAAGTAAGTATAAAATATGTTCCAATTCAATACATGCAGCTTTTAAACTGGAAATAATGTTTCATATTATCATCCTGATTAGGCCTAAAGCAGTGATATTGTTTATTCACACTGTCTTTGCAGGTTTGTGGTAGATTTAATTAGGTAAAGTATCTATGTAGAACTTAGTGATATAATAAAGGCAAATTTTCTCTGTAAGAGGTTATTTAAACCCTTTGCAAAATCTTGTGACCTAGAAGGTTCTTAGGGGGAACAAAGGCTTTGTCCAAAGTACCAATGCTGAGTGATAACACAGTAATTATACTCTCTTGGGTTGTTTTCTTTGGATTTGTCTTTTATTTGGTACTTGACCTCTTTTAATAATGCATATAAATTATCATTATTTGGTTTAATTTACAACTTACATGTAGCACCTCAGAGATTTCCTCAGCTCCGCCAGGAATGTTTTCAGTGGTTTTAAGTTTAAATTCAACTTCATTTAGCCACTTATTTGCTTTCTCCAAGTATGACAATAACTCATGCCAACATGCCCAAACTTCCTGAGAAAGAAATATATATCACAGATTAAATATTATGGTAGAAAAGTAAATGTGAAACTTTGCCATTTCATTTTTAAAACTTCTGAAAACAAAACACTTTATATTTTTCACCTTTACTTTGTAGCAGATAATTTAAAATGCAGCTAGTCATTTTGATCATCTAATACCTCTATAATTAAAAGTCATTAAGAAAACATTTTATTACATGTATAATGGACGAATTCAAAATACAGTAATTTACTTTTTAAAACAAAAATATGCACCAACATTGCAGTCTGGGAAATAGAAAAATAAAAGCATATGTAAAAGCATATATGTAAATCTAACTCCCTCATACATCACTGTTACCAGTATTCTGTGACCTCCTCTGAAATTTAACATATATAATTTCATAGTTAAAATTTAAATGAGTTTAACTATAGCACTCTTTTCACTAAACACTATATCATACAATTTTCTCTATTACTAAGAAGACATATTTTTAATGAAAATCTAAGACTTCATTAAAGTGGCTCTTAGTTTAGCAACATACATTAGATAGACTACTTTTAGTTTTGTTTGCTATTATAAATTTATGGTAAACATCATCATGAATATGGACCATTTTTCCACTTTCTTATTATTTCCTTGAGGTATGTTATCAGAAATATTAGTACTAATTCAAAGGCTTGATTATTTTAAATGGCCATTGATTTGTATTATGAAACTGATTTATATACAGAAGTACTCATTAAAAAGCAGAACTTGAAAATTTCTACAAGAAAATATAGAAGAAAATATCTCTGACTTTGGCATAGAGAAGAGTATCTTAAGACATCTTGTAAAAAAACTGACCATAAGAAAAAAGAGATGAATACATTTGACTACATTAAAATTAGAACCTTCTATTCATCAAAGGACACCATCAAGTAATTGAAAAACAGCCTCAAACTCGAAGAAAACAATTGCAACATTTGTAACACATAAGAATATGAAAAATAATCCAAGTCAAAAGATGAATAACCCAATCGATAATGAAAAGAAGACCTGAACCAAAATCTTAAAGAGAAATATGTATATACAATAAACATGAAGATATGTTCAAACTCATCAGTAATCAAGGACATGTAGGCCAGGATTACAATGAGATACCACGTTGATTGACACAAATGAGAAGTTTGACAATTCCATGTGTGACAGAAGATATACATCAACAAAAATTTGTATTTACTGTTGGTGGAAGTGTGTACTGGAATGACCATTTCGGAAAACAATTTGTTATTCTAAGTAAGGTGAACATTCACATACCCATCAAGACAACAACTCCACTTTTTGATATACGTATCCTCAGAGAAACTTTTTAACATGGATAACAAGACTGTTACAACAATGATCATTTCAGCACTTTTTCTAGTTAGCAAAAAAAAAAAAAAAAAAAAGGGAAATAATGCCCACTGCGAGGAGAATGGAAAAATACACTATTATCTTTTAACAAGGAATACAGACATGACAATGAAAAACTTAATCAAAAAGAACCATAAGAATGAATCTCAGACACAAATATGTTGGATGAAAAGACGAAGTCCTAAAAAAAACTATGTTATAGTTTACCATTACTGTAATACTGAAATTAAGCACAATTGTTTTTTCATTCATATGTGTGTGGATTTTTTTAAACAAAGGAATAACAAAGGGAGCTGTCTACATAGTGATTATGTCTATTGGGGAAAAGATAGACTAATGCAAGAGAGGGTAAGAATATAAAAATGGTCATATTCTGTGAGCTTTGTAATTGTAACTACTGGACGAACCCATTAAGTCCAGTAAGTACAATGGAGCAATCATCAACACTTACTACCATCTGCCCCCGCCTCACTAACTACCACCAAAACTAAAGGCTTGAAAGGAAGATTTATTTGAGGAGGATCTAAACAATTAATCAAATTTCCCCAAGTTCTCTTTGTTTATAGCCCTTAAAACGACAAAGTATTAGATCTCTATCTGATGAAAAGTATCAGTCTCACCCGCCTGGCAAATGTACCAACCTTTTATACTTGCTTGGTATCTTACGTACAGTTTATTGCAAAAAGTGAAATTAAGTATTTTGCTTTAAAAGGTGATAGAAATCTTAAATCTGGGTCATTTCCAGCTCCTGCTGGACTACAGGCTGTCTTCATTCTGGGCAAAGATCCCAGTGGGAAAATATAAATATCTTCTTAAATACCCGAGGGTACCTTAGAGCTTTGAAGACAAGGAGGCGTGATTGGTAATGTGTCTTATTAACTTTGGTGCAGATTGAGGTAATGAACTACCTTGCTGATTTCACCGTCAGAATGGATGGCTTCTTCTGTCCTCAATGCATCTGAAGGACACAGCTGGAGAGGCTGAATGTACCTGCTTTACAGGTCACCTTTGCAAAATAAAATATAGTCTTGAAGCCCGAATTGGAGCTAAAAGCCACTTAGAATAACTGCTAAGCTTAACAGTTTGGAACTTAAAATTACTTTGAAATCACAGAATTCAAAGTGGTTTTGAAGGAAAGTACAAATAAAAAAGTAAAGTTCTGTTCAAAATAGTAGATGGAGCTGATGAGGTAACCCCCCAATGTATCCTATTTCAGTTATATCAAAATGCATGTTAAAAATATAAAGGAAACATTTTTAATTCATAGCTGATCTGTAACACATGTATATAAAACCTCAGGTGTCAGAAAAAGAAAAAGAGGGAAATGAAAGTAGAGAGTAGAAAATCAAGCTTATAAAAATACTGGCATATCAGAACAGGGTATATGCCATCAAAGCTAGGGCATTTAACACTAACTTGAGATGGGAAATGAGGCACGCCAGGGAGATTGGAAAGAATGAAGCAATGTGCCACCCATCCTGTAAAGAAGTAGTAGAACATGCCTAGCCATTGGAATATCGTGATTTATCAAGGAAGCCATTTTGGGGGGATTTTTGGCTGAAAAATAAAGATCCACCCATAACAAATGGAAACTTAACCTTGTATCACACATGAGGGCAGAGCATAAATTCTCTACAATCCTGGTGGCAACACTACAAAAACTCAACAGCCCAGAGCAAAAAAAAAAAAAAAAAAAAAAAAAAAAGAAAAAGAAAAAAAGAAAAAAAGAAAAAAGAAAAAAACAAAAAAATGTTCCAGTAAAGGCAATTCGTACTATAGATGAGCTTGCAAACAAACAAACAAACAAACAAACAAACAAAACCTTACAAGCCATATGGGGAAATTCACTTCCATTAGAGGGAGTCATTAGTTGTAACAAATATGGTAGAATTTTATGACATGAAGATAACAGAACAATTTTAGAGAATTGTACAATAAATATTCTTAGAGTCATGGTGTATGTTTCCCATAGAGTTTATTTACTTGAGATTGGCAACTGGAATTCACATCTAAGAAATAAAAGGGCTTGGTTGCCTATATTTCATTTTGAGAGACCATCTCTTTCTTGTTTGCACAAGCCCTAGTTTAAACAGAGAGGGCTGATGGGGAGGACATTTGAGGGAGGTGAGGAGAAGAGAGTTTGAATAGTTAGGCAATTCTTCTTTCTCAGCCTTTTATGGGGATAGATAGGGTAAACTCATCTGAATCATTTTATTTACAGGATCTAAAACAAAACCACTCATCTACTGGGTGGAAGGGGTGGTTGGTATGCATTTCCTGTTAAGCTGTTGGTATGGCCAAGAAGGAATCAAAAACAACTCTTTCAAATTTCTCATTCCTGAAAGGTATGGAGTATGGGTACTTCCAGTGCCCACAGGCTCTGAGTTGAGATATGGTAGGTAAATTAGACTTCAGGGCATCACTAAAGCATTGGTAAAAAAGATATAATATTCAAGAGCATTTTGTTTAAAGCAGTTGACAAGTGTCACCTTGAAATTCTTGTTAAACACTACGAGGTACTATAAATGCCTAAGAGATCTTTTTTGGGGGGTTCCAAGCTCATAAGAATAAGGCCCATTTGGATCCTCAACAGAATAAATCAAGTCTATAGAGAATGATCCAGGTCAGTGGTGATAACATATAGAAAAGGGACAACAGACTAGGCATTACAGATGTGTGTGGGTTTTAACAAAAGGGAACAGCAATTGTGGGCAGCCAAAATAAGGACATCAACATGAAGAGAGTACTTTTCCCTCTTCATCTTCCCTTATATCAACAGTAGATCCGTATCCAGAAACTAGGTTGGAGGAGGACCCTGTGAGACTATTTATTCTCATTCCTGCCTCTGTATAAATTGCTGAAGCAACAGATTAATCTAAACTTGTGATACATTTGAATACGCTATACTTAAATTTAAATTAAATTTTAATAACTAAAAGTGAATAAAAAGTAATGAGATCAGAGAGAAATATTGTTTAAGAAGCCAACTACCAGGCAGAAAGTGAAATTTGACAGAGTTAGGTGTAGTTATTGAAAAAATAAGACTGTTTCATGTTTATTACTCATTAAGTTGAAACGTTTCAAACAGATAGTATCTGTTTAAGTTGTTTAAAGGAATACACAGAATTAACTACACAAAAGAAGAAAGCCATAACAAAGAACATATTTGTGAAACAACTCAATAAAATACTGACAAATGGAAAATATGTTTTTTTAAAAAATATACACACACACATAAATATAGATAGATAAATATATATACAGATAAAGATGAGAATATTTCTCTATTGAAGGATAAATTATGCCATAGGCAGCTGAAGAGAGAATTTGAGAGTTGGAAGACAGATTTTAGAAAACTATCCACAACTGAGCAGCTAGAGATAAGAATATAGATAATATTAAAGGGAAACCAGTAACTGGAATATAGGAAGGGGATACTCTTAATAGCTATAAGAAAGTTTTCCCTTAGGAAGGAATGAAGAGATTGGGAAAAAGAAAATCTTCACAAAGATAATGCAGAACCACTAAAGAAACAATGCATCTGTTCTAGTTAACACACCAAGTGACAAAGTATAAATGAAAGCAAATTTACAAATAGACAAAGTTGAGTGAAACTGTAGAAGACAAAATAGGGTGAAACTGCAGAGCATATACAACAAAGAGAAAATTTAAAGGTACCAGAGAAAATGATAAAGAAACAATAACTTGACAGATTTCTTGAAGGGAAAATATTTCAGAAGAAAAATAGTATTTTCAGTGTTGTTAAAAATAAATAAATAAATAAACTGTCCTCACATAATTACCTGCTCAACTACATCATTATCCAATACTCTGGGCAAAATAAAGGCATTTTCAATATGAAAAATCTGAACACATTTGCTACTCACACTCAAGGAAAGAGCAAGAAAGAAACTGAACACAGAAGCAAAGGGAAGAACAAAAGGCAAAACTGGTCACAAAAATTGGGAAAATAGCATCAGTAAATCTAAATAAATATGTGAAATAGTTAAAACAATATCAGCAGCAACAGCAATTATATGGACTAATTTGGGGGAAATAAGGTGAAAATGAAATACGAGGCAACAATAAATAATGTGGAAAATGGAAGAGGTAGGTTCAGAGTTAAACCATGCTAATGTTTCCACCATATTATTGTTAGAAAAGTATAGAGAAATACTTATAAGATAAAGTATATATTCCAAACCAGTGGAAAAGGAATAAAATGGAACTAAATAATTTGATAACTTCAATACGAATAGGGAATGTTAGAAATGTCATTATAGATGAGAAGGAAATGGAAAAATAATCCAATAATTGGTCTTGAAAATTGTGTTATTAATATAAAAACTTAAAAAAATCCCTTTGGAAAATATACTTCAATATAAACTTCTAATGAATCACAGAGTATCATTTAAATGAACAACATGAATAATAGGGAACAATGATGCTTATTTAAGGACATTAAGAACATAAGAAAGTAATAGTAGATGTTTTATTTAAATATTGACAGAAAGCATTTCCTGGGTACAAAAAATCCCTCCCTATTGTAACATGTTAGTGAATTAATTGAGGTTTTCTTGAGACATGTACAGTGCCATCACACCCTTTCCTTTCCCATTCTTTGTTATATTTTATATAGCACTCACATAACACTAATACATGAGATACGTCTTTATATACTCAGAAACTATAATATTTCCTGACATATAGAAGCCACTTTTCAAGAGTCTGAGGAGTGAATTGATCTTAAAAGAAAAGAATAGGGAAAAGCAAAGAAGAGCTTAGAACTGACAATGGAGAAACTCAGATCACATTTTACAATTAGAAAATGATAATACTGTATTGGGAATATATGGGGTACTTTAGCAACAAATAAATTTTAAAATATTTTTAAAGGTGTACTTTATTAATGATCTGAATTGTGTCTGTCTTTAAATCTCAAACACTCAACAGATGAAACAAACTAAATAATGTTTTTCAAAAGTAAAGGGGTACCTGAACACCTTATTAACTATATTCACAAAAATAACTCAGTTTGTGTGAAGGAAGGGGGATTAAAGTTCAACTCATATGCAATGTCTGGCAGCATCAGCATTTGTAGTGGATAAAGTTTTGTGCCCCTTGGTGCAGTATTTTCATAAGAAAGGTCATAGCTTATTTTTGATGCAATTACATGGCAATCATTTGAGGCACCTGCTTTATCTAAATTCAGGTAAGCATAATCTAGACAGTAAGGTATCCATAAAAGTTAAAGCAGAACTTGTGATAATAAATAAACATAATGCAAAACATCAAAAAATATAGAGCCGGTTAGGTAACATGTCTAACAAAGAACTCTATGGGGCACAGACATTACTAAAGACAGTTATAGTAAAAATATACTTCTCTACAGAATGCTTTCCCTCTAAGATACTTAAATAAGTTTATGTACATACAAATATAGGAAAAAATAAAGATCATTGTCTATAAATCTGGAGAAAATGTATTTATAGGATTTTATGACCTAATAATAATAGAAATGAGAATTAGAAGCATAGCTACTCACATATATTGAGTACTGGGCTAAGTACTTTAAAGGGAATAGCTCATTTAATTTTCTCAACTTATGAATTATGAATTATGTCCATTTTACAGACTGGAAACAGGTTTATACAAGTCAAGCAAATGGCCCAAAGTCATACAACTTATAAGTGCCTGCGTGAGGAATTCAGGCCAAAGTTGTTTTACGCTAGAATCCATGTTCTTAACCACTATGCCTCCTATATGACCATGTATTGATATATAATTGATAAAGACAAAGAAAAGCAACTGACTTCCAAAGTCTTGCATTTCCCATTCAGCCTAGTGCAGAGCCACTGGTAGTTGGTAGTTAGAGTCTCAAGTTCCTTTTTTAAGGCCTCTTGTGCTACAGGTGGAGCTTGAGCTATGACACTATTTACAGACTCAGTAAGGAGTTTCACTTTCGCTTCTTTTTGTTGGGCCTCTTCTTTAGCTCTCTGAAAAGTAAAGAATGCTCTGTTAATAGCATGAAAATAACTTTACATCCAAAATGCATTTATATGTATCATATAATTTCTTCCTCACAACATCCCAGTTAGAATGAGATTTACAAAAATAAATCTCATATGGACTCCAGTCTCTTCCGTAAAGTTTTAGTTGAAATTGGAAAGTTAAAGAAATAAATTTTTATGAAAATACAACAGATCTTTAACAAGAATAGATTGAAAAGTAGTCTTCATGGGGGTATGCATTTGTGGTCAAATATATACACATCGATATAAATACAATTGTTTGGAAAAGGCAAAAAGCAAATATTTCGATATTAACTAGGTTAAAATATATCTGGCAGTCTAGAATCAAAATCACTTATAAAGTACTTGGATGAACAATATCGAAACCATCACAAATATCATTTAAGTCAAAGGATACTTAACATAGAAAGGTCCCCTTAATGCTATATTTAGGAATATATTTTGATAAAAGAAAGTTTTGTTCAAGAATTGAAAACACATGAGAGGAAGAGAAATCCAAAAGGACCCCCTGATATCAGAAGCTGGCCTGATACCCAGCTATGCCTTGGTCTTCTCCAGTGGAAAATATACTGTTTCACAGAATTTCTACATTGGAAAAGGCCACATTGTTACCATAATGGATCAAGACCACGACAAGATCATTCCATAATCATGTCTGAATCCAGACAAAAACATCAACATTACCCAAACCACAAAATGCCCAACTCTCCCCTATCCTGGTTAATATGAATGAATGCTGCTCCTTTATCAATTACAACTTTAGCCTCATTCTGGTCTTCTCTCCTTCTGAACAAGATACCATACTCATAGAGCTACCCCACACACTAATGACAAACAATCCAAAGTAAAGCTTTTAAACCCTCCTTCAAATCCCCTAACACAAGCACAACTCCTACAAAGTTTTTTTTGTTTTTGTTTTTGTTTTTGTTTTTTTTCATCCTCACATACCCCCTGGCCTCCATGTTGTGTATTCTCCCTCACTGCAAAAAGTAATGAATCCAACTTGTTCAGCTACAAGAGAGTTGGTGGTGGTCTTTGGTTGGGAGACATTTACACTCCTTAACTTCAAATGTGTACACATATTTTAGAAACATACACACATACACACTGTATCTTTAGTCTATGTTCCTCCAGGAGTCAAACTTGACATTAGCTTTCAAATGTAAGTAGTTTATATACATGTTCCATGTGAAAGAAATTCTGGTAGCCGAATGGGGAATTGAGACAAGAAAGAGAAGAGAAATCCATATGGGCATACTTATTAATCACTGTTAATGACTGGAGTTAATCCTGTTAGAAAGTCCTGAGAAATATAAGCCTGCGGGTTATCCCATTCAGGGGTGCAGAAATTGGGGTATTATTTCTGTATCATCTTCCCTAATTGTTGAAGGCTGTTGGGGAAATGTTAATTTCCCAGTACTTGCAGCCTACCACACACAAGTGCAAAAGTGGGATTCAGTGGTCACAGAAAGCCCTCGAGTAAACAAACACAGGTTCTATAATACAGAAGTTGGGTCTGCATACAATGCAGTGGTCAAGGTAAGGGCTTATGGGCAGGTTATGGGTAAGGTCAGCTATAAAATGCCTTTGTATGTGTCAACATAATCACCCTACTCCTTTGGATTTAGCCCTACAATTCCTTAAAATTGTACATTATGTCAGAAAATGCAAATTGTTTTGCCTAAAGAATGTTTACCTTCACCGATTTTAATTGATTGAAATCTTTAGTTTAATATTCTAAATAAACCAGCTTTTTGGCATCACTGAGCATAGAGTTTGTTTTCACACAAATTGTATTTTGACTTTAGTAATTACAGTATAATCAACAAGTTTGATTACCATTCATCATTTAATATGTGCTACTGTGTTCCGTGCCAGCCATGTGATAAGTGCTACCTCATTAGATCTTTAACCAAACCTTCTCAGATGTGTTTTGTTATCTCTATATTGGACATCAGAAAACTGAGGTTCAGAGAGTTTAAGGAAATCATCCTCAGAGTTACATCCTTTCTTTCTCATAGTTTCTGTTAAGCTGGTGTCAAATGTTCCATGAGCTGAGGAAGGAGCATGTTGTAGTCAGTCTAATGAATAAAATTACAATTTATACTCATTATAAATAACCCAAGCAATTATATAAAAATGTAGAATGAAGAACACTTCTTTCCATGGTTTTTAGGCTTCATGTATTCTTGTTTAATAAGAGGCTGAGATCTTGGGAAAGGTTCGGAGAAGGAAGAGCAAAATGTATTAACCCAGGTACATATGAGGAAAGGAGATGATGATGAATTTCTCTACTAGGAGAAAAGGTAGAAAGTTAAATGACTGGTACAGTTTCAACACAAATCCTCATAAAAATGGTGGCTCTTGTTTCTTTCCATGAATCTAACTATGATATGCTCTGCCGTCTTTCATTGCTAGTATTTCACACCAGTGCTTCTTAAAGTCAGCGTCCTTGGAATCACTCTAGAACTTGTTCCGTGGCATCAACTGAAACTTGTTAAAAATGGAAAACTTCAGGCCTTACCCCAGACTCACTGAATCAGAAATTCTGGGGTCAGGCCCCAGCACTCTGTGTATTAAACAAGTCTTCCAGGTGATTTTGATGTCCATTCAGGTGCAGGAATCACTGCTGAAATGATTATACAAATGTATTTGTGTATTTACTATTCTCACTTTATGTGCAAGTTCTGGCAAGCACTAGTACTAGAGTTGTGATAGTGTAAAAATTAAAAAAAAAAAAAACAGTTAATACATTTCCAGATTGTTTTTCAAAGGGTTTTAGTATAAAGTTTTAGCATATAGTCATTGCTGATCTCCATAAAAGTTTTAAAGTCAGAGGTTGTTTATCATACACTGTCCTGGGTTCTTTTATGTCAAAAAAAGTTTTCCTTTCAGGGGAAAAACAAGTTATCAAAACAGCACTTTCATTTTCAAGTAAAATACAGGAAAGAACATAAACAGGAGGTCTCTATTTCTTCTTTGAGTATCAGGGAGAGATGTCAAAGTAGGTCTGTTAGTATCTTCTGACAATAAAGAAAAATTAGCTATCAAATGAACACAGGTGGAAGTCTGGACAAGGTACTATTGCTAACCTCCAGGTAGTGAAGTTGACATAAAGAGACTGTCTTGAGTAGCAGGCTGGAAAATCAAGAAATGAAATCTTCCTGCCAACTCTCAATGGTTGTTGCCAGAGGCTTCCAGAGTTTACCTCTTTTTACTATGACCCCCATACTAAACCAATTTTTAGCTAGGCCGATTATGAAAACATGTCAATGAATATAGACAAACTTGTTGGAACACTCATTTCAAGGATGGTTTTCAAATATTAAAAATTTGAGACAGTTTCCTCTAGAGCACAGGAAATTAAGAGAGATCTGACGGGGTTGTTGGTGAGATAGGCAGATTGCTCATAGGGAGAGGGAGGAGGGTCAGAAGAGAGACTAAACCAAAGGAACCCAAGGAGAATCACAGCAGCTGAACACAAATGACTATATAATCTACTTAGGGATCTGAGGTAGTGGCCATACATAAACAGATGTAGTGAGAACAGACAATAAAGGAATTGAGATACAAGAGGAAAGGCCGTATGAGTGACACACAATTCAAAGGAAAGGAAAGGAAAAAGGAGAAACGAAAAAGGAAAGTAAAGGATGAGATGAAATAGAATAAAATACCTTCAATCCTGTGGGCTCTACCACAAATAAAGTCTGTGACTATGGCTACATTTATTTGACCTATGTGGGAATTACAGTTTCCTGATAAGTTGAGAGAGAAGTGTGGATTACACTACTTTCAAAGTACCTTCTAGCTCTCACATTCTGATAAAGTTTTCCTCATGCTGACCTCCCCAAAGCCAAATTTTAAATTATTTTGGTCTCTCTTTTGAAATACTCCAATGGTTTTTCTATTCCATTTAGAATAACAACTGTCATATTCTAACAAAACTCCTTTGTTAACAGATATTTGCCCACCTCGTAAGACTTATCTGAGATGTTAGACCGTTTTCCTTCCTTCAGGCAGACAGAATTCTTTCTCTCCCCAATTAGCCTCCAGGTCTTTGCAGAAGCTATGCTCTCTGACTACAATGTGCTTCCACTAAGATTTTTTTAAATGCTTGGCTTTTCCTTAGAATTCATTTCTCTCATATTACATACAATTCTTCATAAAATCTCTACAAGTCAAGTTTTTCTAAAATAGTATCCTACCACCCTCAACTCCTGCCTGAACATTGTTCATTCTTGATCTCAAAATCCAGATTTACTTTTAGGCAAATTATCATGACCTCAAATGATTTCATTTATTTTTCCAATTATTGCCTGCTCCTTACCACATGCTAGAACACTAGAATGTAACTTCCAAGGCAGTGGTCTTGCTCACCATCCTCTATATTCAGTATCTAGAGGGTGTTTGGCACATAATAAGTACGCAGTAAGTTTTAGTTGATGAATATGTTATTGCTAGATTAGAATACTTTTGTATTTTTTCATACTCTAGAAATGATTACTATTTGTACAAATGTTTTCTTCATTATAGTTTTTTTATAGATACATAATATTTATACACATTTATGGAGTATATTAGATACTTTCAACATTTGATTAAAGCCATATGATAGATTCAGTATTTAAACATGTGAGTTTTCATGTGAGTTACTTTCTGCAATTAACTATAATAAATATTTCTGAATTACTATATAAATTATATAACAGAGTAGACAATTTTTTACCATGTGGCCCTTTTCACAATTAAAATAATAAATAACGAGTCATGATCATTTATACTGTGCTAGGCAATGCGATAGAAACTTCGTATTTCATCCCTCTAATGATTCTGAAAGCAGACATTCTGATACTCAGTTCACAAAGGAATTTGGCTCAGTAAGCTTATGTAACTCACCCAAATTTATACAGTTGGCAAGGGGCCGAACTAAGTTTTAAACTCAAGTATCTGGCTCCACAATGATTTTTCCTTGTCACAATCCTTGAACTAAACAAAGATCTACAGTATTAATATTTCACATGTTATTCTCTATGTTCTTGCTAGTACATAAAAATAATAGTTATGATTATAGCTACTAATTGAGCACCAACTCTGAGTTAGGCAATTTACTTACATGTTAGTTTCAATCAACAGTTCATACATTCAAGTGAGGAAGTATGATGACATAAACATGATAAAATAGAGGATTATATTGACTACTGAGTTGCCCAAGGTGATACAAAATGCCACGGTGTAGGTTCAACTCCAGGCTTCACCTCCAAATCCATACTACATACCAGTTTCGTTGGTCACAAGTCAATGCTATATTTTGTCCTATTGCTTCAAGAAAAGTACATGTAAACTCAGTCCTTTCTATCCATATTAAAGGCTACGGGTTCAAATATTTAGTGCTACCAAATTCTAAGAAACACCTTTAAAATACCAAATTAACACAGTTTGTTGACTACATTATAAATTTGCCTTTTCAAGAATACTTTTGCACAGTTTCAACACGCATTTACATCAGCTACAGACAGCTAATGTGATGAGTTGATTCTGCTCTCTTAATACTACATGATTTCAAGGGAAAATTCTTTCAAATTGTGATTTTAAATATTCATAATTGACCACAATGCATTAAAATTAAGCAGTTTAAGATTGTTAAAACAAAGATTAAACTTGAAGCTAAATTAATTAAAATTATTAATTAAAAATCAACCTCTTCTCTTAGAACTGGGAAAAAGCATACCGTACACAATTTCAAGCAATGCTGCATTTCTTTTTCCATTTATTTGCTTTGTTTTACTTAGTTTTTCCTTTTTTTACCTTCATCTCTTCAACTGCTTTCTGTAATTCATCTGGAGTTTTATATTCAAAATCTCTCTCAAGATACTCTTCTTCGGCTTGCGTCATCCATTCGTGCATCTCTGATAGATCTTTCTGGAGACTTACAGTTTTCTCCAAACCTCCCTTCAAGGCCTCCTTTCTGGCATAGACCTTCCATAAAACAAACAAGCAAAACATGATTACTGACAGCGATGAAACATTATTATTATATTATTTGATCAGTATGTAAATAACACAAAGCTTAGAGAGTAATGATAAAGAAGGAAAGTTTATATGCATAAGAAAATAACTCCTGGGGATCAGACACACTCAATTTCCCACAAGTGTGAAAATAAGACATGTCTGTTTATTTGGCATACTTAACAAAATGAACGTATTGCCCTATGATGATAATTCAGCTGTTTGTGTGACAATCCTCTTCTGTGACTATAGGAAAACAAGACTTTTTTAAATAGTATGTTTCAGTTGGAAAAGTAATTTTATTGGCATACACAGAAATAGTTATTCTTTGTGTTCTTTGATAATGTTTCACTATTTTAAATATTCTAAGAACTTCATAATCATGTATCTACAGAAAACTCTCATAAATTAAAAAGAAAAATGAAAAGTGCACAAAATATGTAGTTTGGCAATTCACAAAGAAGATAATATATGGCAATATACGTATGTAAAAGACGTTCTAGTATCACTTATAGTTAAATGATTGCAAATTGAAGCGAATTAATGCATTTTCACAGATAAGATAGGGAAAAATATTAATTAATAAAGAGCCCATTTTGGGCAGGGATGTGGGAAAATCAAAGTTTTTAATACTTGTTGAGGAAAATATCCAACATAATACAACCTTTTAGATAGTAAGATGGCAAAATATATAAAAATGTTAATGTCCATGAATCTGTGTCAACTTCTATTTTTTGAGAGTGAATCATGCCAGCCAAAGTGTAGAGAATAACATGTACATTATTTAATTCAGCTTTAAAGACCAAACATCTTGAAAACAAACCCAAAGGTGCTTTCATGGGAGATTAAATAAATTATGACATATATACACTATGGGATACTGTGCATCACCAATACACCTTTACTGAAATGAAAAGTGGCTTAATATAAACTTTTATGTGTAAAATGCAAGTTGCAAAAGAGTCTGTGGTTATAGAAAACATCTGCTATTTAAAGCCTCACAGATTTCTGAAAAGTGAAACTTTCTACAATGGACACCATTACTCATTAACCAGAAAAATGCAAAACTTAAAACACCTAAAAGAAAATCATATACCTTGTTACAAGGCACTCTACAGTATTATAATTATTATGCATAAGTGTTCATATTTACTTTAAAAAGTAAACCTATTCAAAAGATGGTATTCTTCTCTCCGGTTTAAAAAGCATTATATATTTTAAGTAACAGAGTTTTCACAGTATTAATATATAATGGACAGTTTCAGTAAAATGAAGCATTCGTGGTACTTTGCCCAGCAGTAAATATGTGTAGAACCACCATCACATTGATTTTCCTTAGAATTTACAACCATTTTGAGCCTAATATAGGTAATACTTCATTTTAGGTTCTTTACTTACCTAGGTAAATGTAGCACTTGATCTAGTAAAATGTAAATAAATGCTTCACCCTAACACATCTAGAACAGTATGTCTTGCAACTGTACTAGAAAAGGTATAAATGTGATTCTGTGTAGTCAATGAACCTACAATAAACTTAAGACAACATGCTGCTATTTTTACTATTTTATAAACTTAAGACAACATGCTGCTAAATTCTACTTAGATACTCTGCTGTTACAATCTTTTAAGGCAACTGGTGAAGCTACAAAAACATTAGAGAGACTAATGGAATTCAGCCAAGACGTGTAGTAAAAACTATACATTCACATACATATTTTTGTCTGTGTGTGAGTGTATGTGTGCATGTACAAGTATGGTGAGATATTGTTGGACCCTGTAGATGTTGAAGGTAAAAACGACAGCATTTGGTGACAGAATAGATATTTTGCTATAAGAGAAATATAGGAGACAAGAAAATTTCAAGGGATTTGGCTTGAATAAGTGGAAAGATGGAGTTGCCATTTGTAATAGCAGGCAAATTACTAGGGTAGTAGGCTGCAGTGTACATCAGGAATTTTGTTTTGACGTGTTAGATTTAATATGCCTATTACTAATCCATGTGGAGGTGTTGAGTGGGCAAATGGGTATGAAGGTCTAGGATCATTAGAAAGGTCCAGATTGTTAAACAACAACAAAAAAATCTTACAGCAGGAACCACTTACAGATTACATTTAAAACCATAGAGCTTGAAAAGGTGACCCAGAGAGTGAGTGGCAATAGGAGAAAAAAAGGAGTCCACACACTGAGCCCTAGAACACTTTCAAATTTAGTGGTCAGGGCAACAGAACCACCAAGGATATTGACAGTGGTCAGGGAAAACTACGAGATAATTAAGAAAGAATGATGACACAGAAGCCAACTGAATTTAGTGATTTAGTGATGTGAATTCACTGGTGACCCTGACAAAATTTGCTTCAATAGAACAGTGAGGATAACAGTTTGATTAGTTCTCTTAATTGGTTTCGAGAGAAGGGAAGGAGTGAAATGGAGAGAAGGGAATTTCCGTAAAGGGAAACGGGAATGGAGAGGCTGCTAGAGAAACTGTTGTCCAATGAAAGATTTTTTTAAATGACAGGAGATAAGACAGAATAATTCTCTAATGATGGGAATGATGTAGCATAGGGAAGATGTAGGAGGTAGAGGGCTGTTCATTAGCTGGTACAATGTTCTTTTGCAGGAAAAAAGGGAAAGGGATCCAGGTACCTAAGTGGAAAAGCTGGCCTTAGACAAAAGCACAGAAAGTTCATCTATGTAAACAAAGGGAAAGTAGAGTCTATGATCTTACATGCACGTCAGTGGGAGTTTGCAACTTGTATTCTGATTGCTTGTATTTTCTTAGTAAAACAAGAAGCTAGTTTTTGCAGAAAGACGGAAAGACAGACTGTCAGAGAAGTGAGGAAAGAGATCTGGGGATCACTGCACCCAAAGAGTATACTGACCCAGAGAAAGACAATGATCTGCAAACTGCCAGAAAGACATCCACCTAACCTCTAAATCCCATTTATTGATAACTATTTACCATAAATTTAAAGCCACTAATAAAATATATAACCATATATAATTTAGAAAGTATACATGTTTTATAATTTCATATATATAGGTTTCTATTTGTTCTCTATTTAACAAACACATAGAGAAGATTCCAAGATGGCCGAATAGGAACAGCTCCAGACTACAGTTCCCAGCATGAGCGACATAGAGGACAGGTGATTTCTGCATTTCCAACTGAGCTTTGAAGAGAGTAGTGGTTCTCCCAGCATGCAGTATGAGATCTGAGAACAGACAGACTGCCTCCTCAAGTGGGTCCCTAACCCTTGAGTAGCCTAACTGGGAGGCACTTCTCAGTATGGGCTGATTGACACCTCACACGGCCAGGTGCCCCTGTGAGACGAAGCTTCCAGAGGAACAACCAGGCAGCAACACCTGCTGTTCTGCAATATTCACTGTTCTACAGCCTCCGCTGGTGATACCCAGGCAAACAGGGTCTGGAGTGGACCTCCAGCAAACTCCAACAGACCTGCAGCTGAGGGTCCTGACTGTTAGAAGGAAAACAAACAGAAAGGACATCCACACCAAAACCCCATCTGTACATCACCATCATCAAAGACCAAAGGCAGATAAAACACAAAGATGGGGAGAAAACAGAGTAGAAAAGCTGAAAATTCTAAAAATAAGAGCACCTCTTCTCCTCCAAAGGAACGCAGCTCCTTGCCAGCAACGGAACAAAGTTGGACACAGAATGACTTTGATGAGTTGAGAGAAGAAGGCTTCAGACGATCAAACTTCTCCAAGCTAAAGGAGGAAGTTCGAACCCATTGCAAAGAAGCTAAAAACCTTGAAAAAAGATTAGAAGAATGGCAAACTAGAACAACCAGTGTAGAGAAGACCTTACATGACCTGATGTGGCTGAAAACCATGGCACGAGAACCACGTGACGCATGCACAAGCTTCAGTAGTCAATTTGATCAACTGCAAGAAAGGGTATCAGTGATTGAAGACCAAATGAATGAAATGAAGTGAGAAGAGACGTTTAGAGAAAAAAAAAAAAAAGTAAAAAGAAACAAACAAAGCCTCCAAGAAATATGGGAGTATGTGAAAAGACCAAATCTACATCTGATTGGTGTGCCTGAAAGTGACAGGAAGAATGGAGCCAAGCTGGAAAACACTCTTCAGGATATTATCCAGGAGAACTTCCCCAACCTAGCAAGGCAGGCCAACATTCAAATTCAGGAAATACAGAGAACGCCACAAAGATACTCCTCGAGAAGAGCAACTCCAAGACACATAATTGTCAGATTCACCAAAGTTGAAATGAAGGAAAAAATGTTAAGGGCAGCCAGAGAGAAAGGTCAGGTTATGCACAAAGGGAAGCCCATCAGACTAAGAGCAGATCTCTCGGCAGAAACTCTACAAGCCAGAAGAGAGTGGGGGCCAATATTAAACATTCTTAAAGAAAAGAATTATCAACCCAGAATTTCATATCCAGCCAAACTAAGTTTCATAAGTGTAGGAGAAATAAAATCCTTTACAGACAAGCAAATGCTGAGAGATTTTGTCACCACCAGGCCTGCCTTACAAGAGCTCCTGAAGGAAGCACTAAACATGGAAAGGAACAACCGGTACCAGCCACTGCAAAAACATGCCAAATTGTAAAGACCATCGACTCTAGGAAAAAACTGCATCAACTAACGAGCAAAATAACCAGCTAATATCATAATGACAGTATCAAATTCACACATAACAATATTAACCTTAAATGCAAATGGGCTAAATGCTCCAATTCAAAAACACAGAGTGGCAAATTGGATAAAGAGTCAAGATCCACCAGTGTGCTGTATTCAGGAAACCCATCTCACATGCGGAGACACACATAGGCTCAAAATAAAGGGATGGAGGAAAATATACCAAGCAAATGGAAAACAAACAAACAAAAAAGCAGGGGTTGCAATCCTAGACTCTGATAAAACAGACTTTAAACCAACAAAGATCAAAAGAGACAAGGAAGGCCATTACATAATGGTAAAGGGATC